ATATAGTTTTATTTAGAAAGTCAATTAGAGAGAGATTCACTTCCCCAAGGTAGGGGAGAGGGCCAAAGCGTAGGAAAACATGGCCAGGCCAGTGCTTTTAACAAAACAATGTCCAAGGTTTGTCATTATGATATCTATGTTTAAACTTATTAATGATGGAAAAGCTAGATTGTTTATTGAGATGGAATGTAACTTTACCCTAATCTGGCCTATACAACAAAGCCTAAAGGCTTTAGAATTCTAGAAAAGCGTAGTGTTGAAATGAGGTGGCTTCTGAGCCAGCCGGCCTGAGTACAAACCCTGGCTCTGGCTTTGGTTGTATGTCCTTGAGCAAGTTATTTAATCGCTCTAGGATCCCCTCATCTGCATGATGAGGAAAATAACAGTGCCTCTGCCACAGGGTTATTCGAGAACTGGGGAGATACCACATGGAAAACCGCCAGTACATGGCAAGCCCTCAAGAAATGCCTGCTGTTCTTTCGGCTGTGATTACGGCCACGATTATTGTGATTCTTCGTATTCCATAACCTGGCCCCTGCCTGTCTCCCAACATTACTTCCTGTCACTTTCTCCCTTTTTATGCATGCGCCGGCCAAACTAAGCTACTCATAGCTCCCTATCTAACTCGAAGATTCTCTGCCTTTCCTATTGTTCCTCTGGCTGTGTGGAGGCTGAGTAACCACTTGGAGGGGATGTTGTAGAGGCGAATTCAAGCCACGGAAGGGAAACTGGATTGAATGAGATCCTCTGACGTTTCTTTTGGCTTGAAATTTCCATGAGATCAATAGAGTGAATAGGACAATTAACAGCACCACACTCCACACCGTGTTCTTTCACTCCTCTCTGCCTTTCTGTTGTCTGCTCACTTTGTCTCACACAGGGGGAACCTTCTGTACTGGTGCACTGAGCTCCATGTGGGGCCGCTGTGGTGGGGGGGCGATCCTGGAAAAAGACTTATTTCAACTAAACATAAGGAGAGATGGGCCTTGATGGAGGGACTTGGTAGGTAGACCAGGGCGTTTGATTTGGAGCAAAAGCTGAAATTCTCTGCACCTCAGTTTCTTTAGCAGTAAAATGGGGGTAGGTGGGTACTACTATAGGTGGGTACTAATAGGGTGAAAGTTGAGTCAGATATTGTATAAAACGGCTTAACTGAGGTACAGATATAGTTAGTCCAGTAAATATCTTTTCCCTCTTTTTCTCTCTGTGTCTTTAAGGAGATTTAGATTGTAATTGGTAGGAAGACTCCGCTGTGAAGGAGACCAGGATGAGCAGACGGAGATTGCAGGGACCACAGGGGAATGAGGGGTGCAGACAGATGGGGCAGATGGTAGGAGGCCCTGAAGCCCAGAAAAAGAAACCTGGGCTGGGAAAGCAGAGTTGAGAGCCTTCCTGTTGTCCTTGTTCTTCTGTTCCTCCTCCTCTTCCTTCTCTTCTTCTGGTAAATTGTGTGCACACAATTAAATAGGTTAAAAACAATAGAACTAATTTTCATGAACTCAGACCTCAGTGGTTGTTTCTCCAATAGCTTCAACCCTATCCCAGACCTGCCCTGGAAAGCAAAATAAAACACGGTGTCCACTGATACCTTTTCCTGGTTCCACTGGGCACATGCTTAGAGGAGAGCCACCCTTCAATGAAGGCAATATCCTGGGCGCTGTGGCTCACGAGCTGAGGAAGGTAGGGCAGGTGCAAAGTAAGCTCTTTACCCCTCTCTCACTGGAGAACCCTGAGGCTGGGGTGCACCATGGAACCCGGGACTACCCAAGGCCTTCTGTAAGCAGTTATTGGCCCCTCTATGCCTCTGTCTTTTAAATTGGGATTGAAAACTCCCACCTCAATGGTTGTTGTGCTCAGCACATGAGAATCAACTCATAAATCGTAGCTTCCCTGGGGCAGGAATTATCCGGGAACATTGTGACATCTGGAACATTAATACTAAATGGATTCAATTATCTGAAGAAGAAGGCAAGGCAATTAGCGTCATAGGTTCAACAGCTGAGTTCAAGTATCTCCTTCATTTAAGGAAGTCAAGTCAGTGCGGGTGAGATAACTGTTTATTGAGCCACTACTATTTACTAGACATTGTGAAAAGCAAAGTGGCCTGCTCCCTCACACTCTTCCTGGTGATTCTCAACCATAGACTAGGGCGATAGGATGAGAACTTTGATGTGTCCCCTAGCATATATAAGAGAGTGGCAAGCCGGGCTCGGTGGCTCAGCCTGTAATCCCAGCACTTTGGGAGGCAGAGGTGAGTGGATTGCCTGAGCCTCCGGGTTCGAGACCCGTCTGGGCAACTTGGCGAGACCTCATCTCTACAATAAATCAAAAATTAGCCGGGCGTGGTAGCGCACACCTGTAGTTTCAGCTACTCGGAAGGCTGAGGCGGAAGGATCACCGGAGCCCAGCAGGCCGAGGCTGCGGTGACCGGGAGCGGCCATTGCGCTCCAGTCTGGGCGACAGAGGGAGACTCCAACTCAAACAAAAAAAAAGAGAGTGGCTACCAGCTGAGTTGTCTCAATGATGGCTCCCTAAGGCTCAGTTTTTCCATCTGTAAACATCTCATGGAGAGGTGGTGGGAATGAAAGGAAAAAACAAATGTTAATCTCCTATTACAGCACCTGACTCTTAGAAGGTATCAACCAACAGTTGTTATTTTTTCTTTGCAGTAAAATGGACAAGAGATCTCATTTTTGGCAATATTTTATAAAAAGAAATATATATTTATATATAGTAATTATATAGAAAGAATACATAATAAAATATATAAATATTTTATAAAAGATAATATCAAGACATCTAAAACTTTTTATTAATTCAAAACACTAAAACATGTATTATTTTATTATTTTCTCTCAACCTTCCATCTTTAATAAAAATAATACAAAGAGGTTATTAGCTGTCAAGCACTATCCCAAGCATTTAATCCTCTTAACAACTCTGTAAGGTATGTACTGCAATTAACCCATTTTACAGATGAGAAAACTCAGTCACAGAAAGATTAATTCATATAACCAGAGTCACACAACTTTTGAGACTATTTCTTTAGTTTGTATATCTCGTGCCAGCCTCGCCCTTCCCTTTCCATTCTCTCTAGTTCTCCTGACCAGGTGGCAAGTCAAGTCCAATTATGGAAGCCTGTTATTCTTTCAGCAGGTTGCCCCTCTCTCTTTCCCCTCTCCTCTCTCCTCACCTGCCCTCTCTCTATCAACATTTCTGCACAGTGGAAGGCTGCTTGCTACCACACTGGGAAATTCCAAATGATTACAGATTTCCACTCCTCCATCTCTTTTAGAGACTGACTTCTGTAAGTAAGGCCTAATCCTTCCTAAGGAAAAAACCCTTGGAGAAGAAGCAACACTCCGTTGTGAAGAGGAGAAAAGCGATGTCGACAGCTGCTGGTGAGGAGAAACGGAATCACAGAACCTTCAGAAATGGTGTCGGCGCAATTGCAGCTGCAGCTGCCACCCGAACGGCAGAAAGTCACCCTGTAAGATGTTTTCCCTGTTTCAACAATGAAGTGGACTCCCAGGCGAGCCAACGTAGGGCAGGAGCGGGGGAACGTGTTACCAGAGAGGTGACATCTGGTGCATGCAGGAACAGGTCCAGTGCCCCATTCTGAGGGCAGAAAGGCAGTCACTCAGCGAACATTAACTGGGGAACCAGACGGTCACCTGCCCCTGCTCACCGCTGCTGTTCTCTTCCTCCCCAGGAAAAAGGAAGTCAAGTAGATGAAAAAACAGGGAAGTCAGAGCTGCTCACAGTGGCATTTAAGGGTCTATCTAACAGTTGACTCTAATCCCCAGCGAGACAAAAGCCTCTGCCATGAAAATGATTAGCAAGGGGTTCCGAAAACATTTCCTCAGGACTCGGAAAAGGAGAAGGACTATTTTGCACACTACTACTTTGCGTCTCTTAGGAATAATCCCAACTAGGGCTCTTTATAACCAGCGGGTGTTTTTCTTTTCACACGCCATTTGCAGGCACACGGCATGGTATTTGTAACTAATTTTCAGTAGCAAGTGGGTCACTGGTACTCACAGAGTCAGGTGCCATTTTGAAAACTGCTTCTCTCTACCTGAATCTCTTTTATTTCTAGATGCACTTCAGAGATGTCCTAGTGCTGAAAAACGTCCCCTTCAAAACACAGAGTTTGATTTTTGAATTTAATCTTAAGATAGTAGAGATAATGGGATTGTAGTCTTTGGAATTCTACACAGGCCTCCTTAGCAATCGCTTTTATAATATATGAGAATAAGGAACAGGAAGGTAAAGAACTTCCTCATTGTCAGGCAAAAGTCAATAGCGGAGCTCGAACTTGAGTTATTTTGCTAAGGGGAAGGTGTTTTACTCTATAAACTTCAGAGAAATTACCCTACACCCCGCAAATACTACGGTTATTTTACTTAAATGCTCACAAAAATTATTTGATGAAAACATATGGGTGTTACAGTGATGAAACTTTTAAAAAAATCACTTAAGGGTGCTTTGCCTCCCACCCAAGACAAGGGGAACACAAACGAGAAAGACAAAGAGGCCCAGGGTGGGGCCAATGCCCTCCACTGGTCTGAAAGCTGAGTCGCAGGAATTCTACCCCTGCAGTGGGCCAGGCCCTCCAGGGAGGGACACCGCGCCCTTGCGTGGAGTGTCTGCAGTAGACAAAGCCAGTTTCGCAGTAAAGGAATGCTTGTTGCCCCAGGTACCACCCAGACCCTTAGTTATCAGGCACCGTCCCCAAGAGCAGCTTTTCGGAGCTGTTGAGAAAATTCATTACTATAAAATAAGCATAGAAGGGGAAAAAGCGTTATGAAGGGAGTGCTGGAGGGTGGCTCTTGCTGATTTTATTTTTTCGCCATCGCTGTGGTTCCCGTGCGCTGGTGGACCCGGGGCGGGGGCGGGGGCTCCCCAAACTCCCCGCAGGCCTCCGGACGCCGTTCCCGAGACGTGGCGCGAAAGAGTTAAGCGGGGCCTGCGGGTGACATCACCTAATTTGCATCGGAGCGCCCATATAGCGGCGCTCTCCGCGCCCCGCCCGGCACTCGGCGTTGGCCACTGCGCAGACCAGATTTCCCTCGCTCGAAAGCCTCTCTCTGGTGAGCCCCCGGGCCCCTACCTCCTGCCCGCCTTCCTCCTCCCTCCTGGCCTCCAGTTCTCTTCCCGCCGCGCCCGCTCTCGTCCCCTTCGTCGTGTGCATCCCTATTAAGGCCATCCCTAAAGCCGAGCCCAAGTGGTCCTCCCTGGGAAGGCTGCCTTGGGGAGCCGGAGGATGCTAAATCCTGCAGATGCTGGGGAACGGAGCTGGGAAATTGATAACTTAAACACGAAAAACTGGCCTTTGGCCGTGCGGCCCTCTGGGAGCGTTTTTTCTTAATTTCCCCCGCAAAGGCATTCTGCTTTGCCTCAGAAACTGTGATGAATCAGGAATAGAAAGATCCTTTGTTTAAACGCACATCTACCCGAGCCCGGAGCTTCAGCAATGATATTTTCTCCTGTAGCCTCTGATGGCTTCGAGGGCTGTTTCAGTGCAGGTTGAGGTTGGCTGGGCTAAAAGCCCTTCTTGCAGAGGAATATGTGCAAAGGGTGCCGAATTGCCCCAAAATGCGGATCAGAATTGGTTTACGGGGTGTGAGGAGGCAGCTTTGTGTTCGGGCTGCATTGTTGGGCGACGGTGAGGAAGCGGGTAGGGCGGTGGTCGGAAGCTCCAGGCAACAGCTGCCGCCTTTGTGAAAGGAAAAGAAAGCTGGACGAGGCCCGCATCTTTTGGGGAGATGCCACATCCACAAGATGAGAAAGCTTTGTGCGACCTTGGCTCCATGTAAAAAAATTTTTACTCGATTTTTCCCACTTAAACTTCGAAATGCTTTGCTATGCTCATTTTGGCCAGATTTGGATTTTTTAATCCTGCAATTAACGACTCGCAGTGGCCAATTTCCTTATTCCGAGAGATTCGGGGCCTTGAAAGGGATCTTCCCTCTTTGGTCCCCTGAGTTTTAAAATATTTGGGGGGGGGGCCTTTTTTTTTTCTGTAGAAAGATCTTAAGCCCTGCATGGGCGCAGAAGGAGGGAGAGGAGAGGTTTCAGGATGGAGAAGCGCATTTCTGAACCGGGAGACGAGGGTGGGTGGCTCTTTCTCACTCTTGGCTTTGTGCCCACAGCTCCCTCCGAGACCATGTCTGACAAACCCGATATGGCTGAGATCGAGAAATTCGATAAGTCGAAATTGAAGAAGACAGAAACGCAAGAGAAAAACCCACTGCCTTCCAAAGAAAGTAAGCTTCGATCCCCCCAACACCCCCCCCATGTAGAAAGGGCTAGGCGGGAGCGGCCGGTGGGCGGGAGGCAGGCAGGGAGGGGCCGCGGGAGGAATTCCGGGAGTGGGGGTGAGGGAGTGCGGGGGAGGAGCCGACAGTTGCTGATGAATATGACCTGGAAAGGTTAATTAAAAGTTCTTTTGCAGCCAACAAATACAGAGCTCCAATAATTTAGCAATGGAATATTTAATATGCCATAATAACACGCAACATCAATTAAAATGTACTTCTGTTTAATATATTCAGTATACATATTTCATGATGGAATGTCTAGATCCTTGCAAAATTTTTACGATATGAAAAGGAGTTTTAAATGGAAGTCCTTTCATCGTTATACTATGCTGTACTGAATCCTCTTATTCAACCCTCTTTTTTTGGTCACAGCGATCGAACAGGAGAAGCAAGCGGGCGAATCGTAATGAGGCCAGCGCCGCCAGTATGCACTGTACATTCCACAAGCATTGCCTTCTTATTTTACTTCTTTTAGCTGTTTAACTTTGTAAGATGCAAAGAGGTTGGATCAAGTTTAAATGACTGTGCTACCCCTTTTCACATCAAAGAACTACTGACAACGAAGGCCGCGCCTGCCTCTCCCATTTTCCGTCTGGCTGGCAGGGAAGGAAAAGAGCTTGCATGTTGGTGAAGGAAGAAGAGGGGTGGGACGACAGTGAAATCTAGAGTCAATCAAGTGGCCCAAGGTGTCCTGCAGGCTGTAAAATGCAGTTTAATCAGATGCCATTTTTTTGTTCAAATGATTTTAATTATTGGAATGCACAATTTTTTTAATATGCAAATAAAGTTTTAAAACCTGATTGGTAATGTGGAAAGAGTGGTTTATTTGCCGCCGATAAAACCTTTGCAAGGGGCCCTGACTCTTGGTCCCACTGGGGGGTGATAAGTGACAAGCATCTGGTGATTCCGTAAATTAAATTACCCCACGGCATAGAAATGGGGTTCACCCAGGTATGTGAAATACCTTGTCTATACTAGGTCATTGGGAGATCATTTTCATAGGCTCATTGAATTCCTGGTATTAGCTGTGTGAAAGCTTTCATAAAAATCTGTTTGCAGTTCTTCACTGAATACATTGCACATGCTCAAGAAAATGAAGGTGGTAATTTGCAGTACGGTATCTCAGTTCAATAATCCTAAAAACTTATTTAACCAATTACTAGCATTGACAGTCTTGTTGGGTAAAAAGTAAAAATTACGTTTTAACGTTCCTTTAAAAAGGAATTAGGGACTTGTGCTTCCTTGTCTAGGCTAGTTACCAAGAAGAATCCAATTTATAAAATTAATAGTGCATTTGAATATGCTTTTAGATGTATTGAGTCCTTCGTTTGAATAACAATCTTTGAATTTCAAGGGCACTAGCCAGACAGGTGATATTTGTACTAAGTTTAAATCCAGCGGTAATTAATTGGCTGGCACTCAGGTCTCACCTTTTCAATCATTTGAAGTACACATTTTCACTGGTGGGTAAAAACAAAGCTTGGTTTGGGCCACTTATTTGCAGGAAGAGGGAATTAACAAATTCTTAAAAGTAAACGGGATATGCCATTCTAACAAAGATCCTGAATGGATTTCTTGGTGCAGATATATATGTATATTAATTTATTAAGCCAAAACAACTGCATTAAAGAATGCTGGTAGATCACCCACTATTTCCGCAGAGCTAAAATTTACAATGCAAATATCCAAGAAGTTAAAACTTTTTCCCCCTAAAAACTGACATGAAAATACCCTTTTTGAAGGGGAAGAGGAGGGAAAATTGTTGATCACTATTAAACCAGTTGATTTCATTTCCTTTGCTCAACACTTATTTTGAGAAATGCACAGGAAACCATTTACCTGTGGTTTAGACAATCAAGTAGAACATCGGCTAGAAGCTTTGCTCTGCATTGCAAGGGAAGGGGTGTGTGTACCGGCTGCTTGAGGCTGCTGCAAAAGCTGAGCACCACAACCCCCTCGGTGAAGAGATGATGGGAGACAGCACAGAGGTTCTGGGAGCCATCTCAAGATGGAGACTGGCCCGGAGCCCTGCAGTTTTCTTTTCTTGCCTAGAAGGAAGGATGGGGTGTGGGCACGGTAAAATGCCCAAGGCACAAAGAGAAGCCAGTCTCGTGTAGATTTTTGCTGTGTGTCTTTTTCAAACAATGCAAAGATGGAAGATTTTAAGAAATGAACACAAATCCAGTGTTGCTCAGTTTAAAAAGGAGCATTTAGGGAAAGGGATGATTCATGAGATCAAGGGATGGAGGAGAAGACTTCTATTCTGGAGGACAAAGCTAAAACGTACCCCACCGCTCCCAAAAAGTAAAATCAGACATCTAATAATGATTGAATTCGGGCTGCTTGGTGTGTGAGGTAGGCAAAAAGTACCTGCCCATGTCATACTCTGTCCACTTAACAGACGCACGTGGGGATGGATGAGGTTACATTTAAAAAAATTTGATGAAAAATTCTTTATTTTTTCCGAGAGAGAATCTTCCCTGAAGGACTGGGGGTCCTTGGGAATCTGTGTGGGAATGTATGCTCCTGCTGTATGTAGGAGTTTGGAGTCGACAGAATTTTTCACAGATCCAAAAGGGCCATGAGTTTTTATCATTAGAATGAGAGAACCATGTGACTGAAGGAGACCCTAGGCACGGCATTTTTGACTGTGTCTCCCCTCGACCCCAGGAGGAAACAGGCCGAGGGGGCTTGAGTAAACACTGAGGGTCACTCAGTTTTGTCTGGGACTTCTGCTAGATTTTGATTGATCAAGAAAAATAAAGCAAAAATCAAGGAAATAAAAAGAGGCTCACTAAAGGACCTTTGAGACTAAGCTGGCTTCATTTTGAAATCTCTCAGTCATGTCAGCCAGGTTCCAGTTCCATTCCAATGGATGGAATCTTAAAGCTATTTTATTATCTTAGGAGAACAGCACAGCTTCTGGGCTGCGTGTGCAAGGATTGTGTGTATATGAGGGCGAGGGATCATGCATAGTCTTGACAAACATTGAGTGGGCTGTACAGGGCTCTTACATCTCTTATCATCAGAATTAGGTGCTTTCTCCTTTAAATGCACACGGAAGATCTGTTTATTACTCCCAGAGAAGCATCTAATTCCTCAATATGCAAAAATAAAATAATTTTGCATTATTTCTGAACGTAGGGGGCCAATTTTGTGCTTACTAGAAAGATCAGTGCATTTTGGAAACAACATTGCAGCCAAAAAATAAAAATAAAAAATCTTGAGTCTGTCTTAGTTCAAGAATGTAAACTTAAAACATTATTTAATGATGTGGAAAACCCTTAGTGCTTCATTTAGCCTAGTAGTCTTCACTGGTCTAGCAAGAAAATAAGAAAAATACCTTTTCCACACCCTCTCCCCTCACCCCCACTCCCGTTTCTCAATTTTAGATTACACTTTCAAGAGTAAAGCTTACACTGCAGTCTCAGAGAACTTAACACACCCACTGAGGGTTCAAGCAGATTTTAAATGCATGTAATGAGAAGGAGCTAAATTACAAATTTAAGGCACAGATGTACGACGAAGTAAGCTAAGAAGAAAATATGCTTCTAAGGACTGTGTTTACTTGGTTTATATTTTCCTTGGCTACTTGTACAGCCTTTTTATTTCTTTAGTCACATTGTTGTGCTAGTATCATCCCTACTCCTGGCGTCTGGGACTTTGGTGGGCAGAGTCCGTGCACAGTGCATTCATTGTGTGCTTACTTTGTGCACTGCTCTCTCTCTCTCTGTACCAAAATGCCTTGCATAGTAATGGACGCATATTGGGGCTTTAATATACGCTTTTACCCTTTAATTGATGGAGACTTCATTTAACATGCTTACTTTGGGGGGTCCCTTTGAACATGTCGATGTCTTGCTAGATAGTGTAATTTTAAATAGTTTTTAAATATTTTTAAAATATTTTAAAAAATCTTTGAACACGAATTTGTCACTGTCCATGGTCATGTGATTTGCATCACTACTTATAGCCAGCTTCACATTATAAAGCCAGAGCACTGGATTACTAGTTCACCTCACCAATATTTGTTGATTTTCCAGTACATGGCAGGTATTTCATTTGCTACAGAGATATGGCCGTAAACAAGAAGATGTAGTTCCTGCCCTTCTGTGTCCTCCATTAGTGAGAAGATGTCCTTTTCCGCTAACTCTGAGTGGAAATGCTAAGCAATTATTCCTTTCCATTTCTAGGGTACATGATGAACCTAAGGGTTTTGGGTTTCTTTTTTTTTGAGTTTGAGTCTTACTGTGTCGCCCAGGATAGAGTGCAGTGGCACGCCCATGACCACCACAGCCTGGACCTGCTGGGCTCAGGTGGTCCTTCCACCTCAGTCTTCCAAATAGCTGGAACTACAGGTATGTGCTACCACACCCAGCTTATTTTTTGATTTATTGTAGAGATGCGGTCTCGCCAAGTTGCTCAGACTGGGCTTGAACCCCTGAACTCAGGCAATCCTCTCGCCTCCGCCTTCCAAAGTGCTGGGGTTACAGGCTTGAGCCACCGTGCCCGGCTGGGTTTTGGATTTCTAAGTGAAGTTT